TCCAACAGACAAAACGTGGACACAACACAACTGCCCTTCAAAGATGAGTGAATTAACAAAATGTGGGACATTCATAAGATGGAACATTACTTGGCAATAACAAGGAACAAACTGCTGATACAAACACTAAGGATCTAAAGGCCAATATGTTGAGTGAAAACATTAAAGAACTACACATTTTATGTTCTATTTATATTACATTCTTAAAGTGACAAAATAATAGCTGTGGAGAACAGACCAATACATGATCAGGCCCTGAGATTCTATGAGGGCATAATTACTATGAAGTAGTGAAAAAAAGCTTCTTTGTGGTGATATACTGTTCTGTATCTTGACTGTGGTTACAGTAATATAAATCCACATATATGAACACAATTGGCACACAGGAAACAAAACACAGGTAAAAACTGTAATATCTGTGTAAAGGCCTGTACCTGAGTTGACAGTAATGTTGCAACGTCAATTTTCTGGTATGACAATGCTATGTTTACATAACAGAACCAGGAGAAGCTATACTTAGCAGAATTGCTGCAATATTTTTGCAACTTGTTTTGAATTAAAGTGTTTCAGAATGAAACAATAAGAATTACAAGCAGGTAAACAAAACAAAAAAACAAAAAAACAACCACAACTGTGTAACAATTCTGGCTTTAGTGTTCCAGAAGAGGAGTCAAAAAACCTTTGCTCTAAACAGAGGCAAGAATACAAAAAGTTTGCAGGCATTAGTCTAACAACTTCATGACACTTAAATGTGGCAGAATTTAGAGATGGAAAGCAAAGGCAAACATTTAGAAAAGTGGGAATTTGAATCTTGCTGTTGGTTCTGACACTCTCTCCAATCTTAAGGGCCATGTTAAGACCCAAGAAATGGAGAATAACAGAGTTTTAATGGGGTAGAAGGAGAAACAAAACAGGACATCAGTCTGTAGTCACATTCTGACTGCAGTCAAGAATGGATTGGGTAAAGTGATGGAATAAATCTGGCTGAAAGACTATGGCAGCAGTTCAGAAATTGTGTAACAGATGGGACTGGCACGATAGCATAACCTGCTAATTCTCCACCGTGTGGTTCTGGCATCCCATAAAGACAATGGTTCTAGTCTGGGCTCGTCCACTTCTGATCCAGTTCCCTGCTTATGGCTTGGGAAAGCATCAGAGGATGGCCAGCCCCCTTATGATCCTGCACCTAGTAAGAGACCCAGAAGAAGCTACTGGCTCACGGCTTTGGATCAGTTCAGTTCTGATTACTGTAATGTTATGGTGGATGAAACAGTGGATTCAGATAAAAATCAGAATCAGTAAATTCTGGTTACTATGGCCATACAGCAGATGAATGAGCATATTTCAGATAAGAATAAATCTTTTTTTAAAAAGTGACATAATGGTAGCCTGAACTTGAGTGGTAGCAATAGAAATAGAAATGCACAGACCTGAGGTAATAATCAGAGCACAAAAGTAATAGGACATGGCCATGGTTTCAAAAAGATGGCTAGTGACAATAAACCATTTCAGTGGAATGGTAGGCAGGGAGAATGCCACAATAAGGCAATTTTTAAAAAGGGGATGGCAAAAATAAGATATAAATTCTGATAACAAAGTTTGGCATGGACATTTGGTACAGTCGTTCGTCTGCTGCTTGGAGTGTACCACGGACAAGTCTTGTAGAAATATGATCTCCTTACGGTGTTCAGGCTGGTTTCTCTGGAGGGCTCTCTCATTGGCTGACAGAAGTCCAGCTGCTTTCTGAGCTCTTACATGGTCTTCCACTTTGTGCCTATGTCCTTTTACTGCTTTTCTCTCTCCTTCCTTTCTTCCTTCCTCTCACTCCCTCTTTCCCTCCCTTTCATTCTTAAGACAGATTTATTTCTTTGAAAGAGCTACATAATAAGGGAACAAGGAAATCAAGATCTTCTATCCCATGGTCCTCTCTCCACTGCCCAGAGCTGGGCTAGGCGAAGCCAGGAGCCAGTACTCAGGAGTTGCATCCAGTGGTAGGGGTCCAAATACTTGGGCCATCTTCTGTTGCTTTCCCATGCCCACTGGCAGAGTGGAATGGGATGTGAAGCAATGGGGACATGAACCAGTGCCCATGAGATGATGGTGCCATTGCAGCCTGTAACCTGCAGTACAACAATGGTGGCCCATCATGCTTTTAACATAAATAAATACCTTATTTTAACTTCATTACCACTTTATATAAATAAATATCTTATTTTAACTTCATTAAATACACAGTCTGATCATAGTCTTAGATATTGGGGGTTAGGATGTTAACATATAGATTTTGGGAACCCAAGATTCAGCCTATATTAATCAATAGGCATCCTACTAAGGATGACAAGGACAGATACAAAGAACCAAAACAAAAGAGGCAGTCAGTAGAGCTAAGATTTCTAAAATGGTTCTCATAGTGTTTAAAAAATGTTTTACAAATCAGGAAATCTGAATGCCACCCCTTGTTCTGTTACTAAACCACAATCCTTGCATATATCTGGCCCTCATTTTAGCCACCCTATACAGACAAGACAGACAGACATATTAGAACATGCTAGAAAGAGTACTGACATAAAATCCCTGACATTGTCTCTGCGATCACAGAAAAGACTGACCTCCATGAGTCTGAGATTCTTCACTTTAAGATTGAGTACAACCAAATCATCTCCAAAATCCCTTCTAAAACCACATGGTTCTACAAAATGAAGTCACATGAGCTAATCTGATAACTAGTGAGTGGGCTGTGGATTAAAAAAAAACAATTCTTTGAAATATTTACTGTTCAAAATTAAACTGCATGCTCCCTAGCATCTGAAACACTAGCCTTACATTTTTACTTTTTTCTCCTACTTTCTCCTCTGCTCTTAAGTCAGTATTATTCTAAGCTTAAAGCTCTATAAATATGACACTTTTTAATTCTGTTGGTTTAGAATGCTAAGGTTTTGTAAAGCAGATACTACTTTTGTTTGATGCATCTATCTTTTTGCCTCACATTACATTCTTACATAGCACTCCTGATTAAATATAAGAGAAGAGTTTTGAAGGGTTAAAAAAAGGTTGAATTCTGGTTATATAATTCAGAAGCATGCATGGCTAAAGCAACAAGAACTCCAATTACAGTATCTTAAATATGAAGGGTTAATTTTGCCATGTACTGATAAGTACAGAGGCTGGCAACTTCTCATGTTGATTCAGGTGTTCAGAGCAAAAGCATTAGAATCAGGCTTCAGCCAGCCTGATGCTTCAGCTCCATCTTTGAAATGAACCTTCATTCTCAGATTTCTTATCCACAGTTGTAAGACAACTGATAGACTTCTAGGTCTCTTACTGACACTCAGTTCAGTGGAAGAAAACAGGTAAAAAACTGTCACTTTGAGAACCTGGAAAGGAAGGTCCTTTCAAGGAGGCCTCTCTTCATTTCCTTAGCATGTAACTAACTATGTCATCCCAACATCTTAAATCTATACTGTCTAATATGGTAGCATGAATCACCTGTAGGTTTGTTTAAATTTTATAAAATCAAAAATTGAACTTTTCAGCTGTACTGGCCATATTTGAAGCATTGCAAGTGTGGCTACCAAACTTTATTTTATTGACTAATCACAGAACAAAAGGATGAAAAAAACATTTCTGTTTTGGATCAATTGAGCTTTAACTTCTGGAGCTGTGCTAAGATCCTAAAGGCTTTGAGAAGAGGGGATTTTTGTTACCATCTGAACAAAATGGGATAATGTTAACAAAGAAGAAACAGGTAATACCAACAATGCAACACTGGCTCACAGCCATCAGAAACACTAAAATAATTGCTAATAAAACAGTAATCTATAGACTGGTGAGCAGGGATTAGAGAAAGAGTGGTAGGACAATGTGCAAGCACTATGTCCTTTACAGCTCAAATGGCGTTAAAACGGATGATCACTGAGAGTTACTAACATCATGCTCAGGAAGAGTCCACATCTGTCGTAACAATGACAGGTACGAGAAACACTTCTCTTCCTGTGAGAGGAGTTTTTTTTAATGGAAGATAATTAAACACTGGCTCATTATTCCTGGCAGAACAAAATAAGAGATTTCATAACACTTAAGATTAGATTAAATATGATTAAATATTTACTGACAGTAAGAGTTAGTTAAAAGGTTAAAAGAAGCTGACATTGAGAAATTTTTTCTTCATAAAGATTAGGTTGGCAACTTCTCCACAATCTCTGCTTGCCCAAAAATAGCAGGAACAAGTCTATAATACAGAACCTATATGTGGTTAACATAAACAAGTAAAATTTAAAGATACATGAGTTGCAATTTATTACTAATAAATGTGTCCTGAATACATAATTGTCTACTTGAAAAATGGACTTGTGCCTAAAGTATCTAGCTTCCAAAAATTTTTTTAACATTCCTGAAACATGCAAAAATACTGTTGAAAATAACACAATATTTACTATGAAAAAATACTTGGTAATCATAACTTTTCCTATGATTAAGATAATAAAGCCATACTATTTTTTTTTTCTAAAGACAGTTTAGATTTCCTCATTTTTCCCTCAAAATAAAAACAGCCACTGCAGTTCTTCTCACCTGTATTTTCTATGATCCTTAATTTACCTGTTATGTAATTTACGGTCACAAAATTTTTAAATATAACTGTAGAAAGGTTAAATTTAAGTATTATAGTACACATTATCTTTCAGGCATTTCATGGGTAAAAAAAACTCAATGATGCTTTAGATGAAAACAAAAATTTACCAAGAAATATTGCTAAACCTTGTGGAATGACATATTTTAACCAAAGTTTCTCAGAATAACATTTTAGCATCTAACTGAACTATATAGCCCACCAAAAGGTAAAGCAAAAATTCAAGCCGACAACATTAACAAAGTTAAAATAACCTAACTTTGTCACCTACAGATGAGGCGTATTTCGTAGTTTTCGTGAAGGGTTAACTAGAAATTGAGTTTTAAAACTATTGACTATGAGCATAACAAAAAGAAGCTACAATTTTCATATTCAAGTTTAATAAATCATGATGGTTTATTTAACAAGGTTATTTCTGCATCAGGTTGTGACTTAAAAGCAATGATTATATATATGTGATATGAAGAGATTGGTGTACAATTAGTTAAGTCTTAAATCTTCCTTCTATGGAGTTCCTCCATCTTTCTGCTTAGCAGGAAAAGGCATTTTTAGGTTTATATAAACACATTCTTTGTAACTGCCTTCTTAAGAGAAAATCAGATATAAATAGCACTGGGCATTTAGTAAATAAGTCACAGGCCAGTGAGTTCAACTGTGCTGTTGTGAAATCTAATGTCAAAGAGTTTGGAAACCTTAAGACTGGGTGATCTGCAACGTTTCCAACATGTCTTCAACTGCCTTTACAGAGTATTTGGTTTCCTTCTTACTTCGACCTGCAAACTAATTTAAAAAAAAAAAGAACAGAACAGAAAAGAAAAAAAGCTTAATTAGGTTTTAGTGGCAGCTTCAAAATCCCAATCTTATCATTATATTGTTAACGAAACAGCATTAATTATCATATAACTAGCATGAAATCACACATTTTTTATCTCCAACAAGAACAAAATCTGGGGTAGAAGGCAGCTGAAGTGTAGAGACATTGTGGCATTCTAAATCAATGTAATATCTAACCAATAAATTATATTTAGACATGAATATCGTGTATTTGACTTCTAAGTGGACCTTTACAATTTCAGACAAAGGTACAATGTGAGTTAAAGTACGTTCTATTAACTATGTTAAAGCTGTTAATTCCTAAAATTAGTTATAGTAGGACATTGTGTGTGTGTATATTTATATATACACACATCATTTTCCAGATCAGTTGATAAAAATAATGCATTTGTACAGTAAAAACATGTAAAGTAAAACTCCAATTAAAACGTGAACTTAAACTGTGTTGCAAAAACTACACTGAAATCGGACTTTATAATAAAACAAAAAAATAACGCAGCAAGTACTATCTTTGTTTAATTAAAAGTAAATTCACAGTACAGTTACTCCAACATAGTAAACATTATCACTGGGGGTTACATGTTGAATAACCCCTGCTGATTTCAAAATGAGTTTTCTAACTGGATAGTTCCTACCATTTATCAGTCTCGACTTTACACATCACATTTAACAGACAATATGTGTCCCTTGTGTAGAAGAGAGAAAGTTTTTATATATAAATTACCTGCTTTCTTCCCTGGTTAACATTCTGGTTAAAACAACATCTAGTAATTTTCACATCACATCTAACCACTGGATGCATTTTCAAGTGACTGATGATTCCTTCAAACAGCAACGCTGCCTTAAGTACTAGATACTTGATTTATGATGTGTTTCTCCTCTTTTGTAATTAACTTAATTTGGCACACTTCCCATGACCTATTGGGAAAGATGAAGTGCGCAGGCCAAGGTACCATCACCCAGCACAGGCTGCAGGAACTGGTAACCTGCCTCTGACCTCTGGCTACAGTCTAACATTTTGATTCCTCTACTTCCTAAAACATTAGCTTCTGTGGTGAATTCTTGATTTCATAGAGTAAATAATGGGGTTTCTTAGAGAAATGCCATGGAAAAGGAAAGCTTTAAAATTAAAGTCATCTTGCGTTTAATAAGGCATCACTAATTTTAGGAATTCATGTCAGAATCACAAAATATGGTACCCAAATTGATAACTATTTTATAATTTCTCTTGGTGAATAAAGAATGTGGAATATGTCTTTCACTTCTTTTATTCAATTGATAAATTCATGATCACAAGGATTTACCAAGAACAGAAAGCCTTTTCTTTTACCATTGCCCACCCAATGTAAACAGGTCTGGTCCTAATCAGATATGCAAAGGGTATAACTCTGAGCAACATGTGGATGGCTTTGGGGGAGGGTACAAAATAGGATATCACACAGTAACTTTCATCAAAACTTTTTAAATAGCAAAATAAAAAATGGAAAAATGTTACAAGCTAAAGTTCAAGCACGTAATTTCAAATACAGCATTTCTCTTAGTTTGTACTTTAACATAATAACGAGAAAGATGACTTTTTAAAATGAATTAATTCTTAAAAATCACCTAAGATGTGTCAGTATTATTGAAAACCAATGAAATTTAAGGTAAATCAAACTAACCTATTGGTGTCAGAACAAATAAAAAGCAAGCTGGAAATATAAATCTTTCACTTCAAATTTTTCTTGACATGCAATTATTTTGTCTATTCCAGAATTATGGGCAATTTAACTGATTAAGCCAAAATCATATTTTTTCCTTAAAATCAAGACTTAATTTTCTATTTCCCAAAAGGATAGTAACAGAATCACATCTGCAATCATAAATAACATGCGGCTCACTGGGACAGACAAATTTAACAGTGTACCTAAGAAGCATTTATCTGGAACATTATTGTATGTTCACATTAACGTTTCTCATGAGCATTAACCAAACATGCCTGCCTCTGTTGAACACACTAAACCAATGACCTAACTGAAAACCAAGTGGTAACCATGTTCTTGTTCATTATGTAGAAACAAAAGCAGTTTTTAAATTCTAATTTTCTCCAAATAAAAATCTATAGAAACTTAATGAGAATACTTACTTTATACTTTTAAATGCTTATATGAATGAGTCATGTAGTTTAACTGGATCTGAAATTTATCTACTTTAAAACAAGTAAACTAATACTTTTGCACATTATTCATAACTTTGAATTTCTGTTTCCAAGTGCTTAATTTGTTTGAATAAAACTTTCACTAGCTTATCAAATTTACAGGTCAATGGTTCATTCATTGCAATACACTGGGATATATCAGGAGAAAATCTTCTATGGAACTTGCAGCAAAGCATATGGGTAGACAAAGTAACAGACCATAAATGAAATGAATCTCTGGATGTCTATGTAACAGAAACATTATGCTGACAGAAGCCAGACACAAAAACGCTCATAACCTATGATCTCACTTATACCAAATTCCAGTATTGGCAAAACTAATTTTTGTGCTTAAAAGTTCAGCCAGTGTTTGCCTGCTGTGGATAAGATGGAACTGTCAAAAGAAAGCAGGGTAACTCTGAGGTAATGGAAGTGCTATGCTACCTGAAGTAATTAAAACTCAAGCTATAAACTGAAAATATGTGTGCTTTATTATACTTAGATAATACCTCAATAAAACAGATAAAAAGGCAAAATGAACTAAAACAGTATTTACACAGTATATAGTATAATACACTGCAGATAATTAAATTTTTTTCTTCTCATTGAGAAGTTTTGTATTTCTTGATTCTGGGTTGACCATGAAACATGTTTTAACTAATGGAATACTAGGCAAAGTGTGACCCAATCAGGATTAAAAATGCGTACACATTTGAACTATCTATCTGACACTTCTAGAACTCTTGACAATCAGCGTGTGAATAATCCCATACTACTTGCTGAATGAAAGACACAAGGCACAGTACTACCAGCTAAACAGTGTCAAGTGGTCCATTATTTATGTGAGGTCATCGATCATCCAGATATTTCAGAAAGCACAATTACTAAACTGATTACACAATGATAGGTAAGTTGCCATTCATAAAACTAGCAAACGTGAATACCTGTAAAGGGTTATGGAACCTGACCTATAGGAAAAGGACAGAAAGGATGTGAAGCAAGCTTCAAGTGCACTGAGACATTGTATTAAAAATCTATTATCTCTGTCAAGAGATAAAAAAATAAACATTGCATGACAGGTGATTTTTCAGTTAAGGAATATTCCAAGCTATTGCACAGATATTTCACATAACCATTGAGAATTGTGCTACCTAGTTATCCAAAATGAGCAAGGAATGAAAAAAAAACTTCCTTATATTATCTTTTCCTATAGAGTAACAAAAAGGCAAACCACATTTTCAGAGTTATCAGAGCAAAACTCAAAACTGGAGAACACAAGTTAGCAGGGCCTACCATCACTGAAGGGACAGCAAGAAAAAAAAAAAAAATCAAACCAAACCCCTCCTCAATTTAATTAGTAATGAGAGCTTCAGGTCTCAAATGAACAGAAACAAATAGGAGTAAGATGCTAATTTTGGGAGGAAGTTAGATACTACTCTACAATAGCTCCAGATACATTGATACATGTTAGCTTTCTATCTAGGCTGTACATTGTAACCCACAACAGTAGCAACACTGGAGTCAGACTGCCTGGGCTGGAAATCTGCTGTCAATACACATCTGTGCTACCTTGAATAAGTTATTTAATCTCTCCACTCCTTACAATCATCATTTGTAACACAGCAAATGTTAAATAAATTCTCTCGTAAAGGTAGGCTATTATAATTATTGCTGTTATTGCAATAATCAGAGCATGCAGAAAGCAAAATGAAAGTGCACAATTATAAGCACAATTTAATATACCCTATTATAATTTGGCAAAAAGTTAAGTTTTATATGCTTTAATCCACAAAATACTTTTATTATTCTGGGTTAATATATATCTGTAATCAATCCAATGTTATATAGCATATAAACGTCAGAGGTAAATTTTGACCCAGACAATACAGATCTAGCATAGCACCTGTGTTCTCTTTACTAGAATGATCTAGCTTTCATAAAATGGGGCAGAGATAAAACACAAAGATCAATAGAAAAGGCAGATATCTACATGAGAAGAAACTGATTTTTTCAAACATTACATACAAAAGACCTAGTCAAAGTGGCCTGTGGATCTATCTGTGGAAAATATAAGAATAAACATAGGAGAGGCAGGTGCTGTGTCCCAGTGGGGAAAATGGCTGCCTTTGGCCACTGCATTTGCAATAGCAGCAGAGGATGATGCAAGTGTTTGGGCTCCTACACCTGCAAAGGAAAAAGAGAGCAGGCTCTTGGGTCCAGAGCTACCCAGCCCAGCCACCACAGCCGTTTGGAAAATGAACCAGCAGTTGCAAGATTCTCTCTCTTAGTCCCTTCCCCCTCACTTGCTCTCTCTCTTTCTCTAACTCTGGCTTTCATTCAAATAAATCTTAAATAAATAAATAAAATGGGGAGACACACAAAGTCTATGGAATAGTAAGATTTATTCAGAATACAAAAATCATGGACATAAAGACAATGAATGATAAGTCTTAACACATTTAACATCAAAACTCTATTGTTCAAAATTATGTGAGAACAAAAATAAGGACATAAGAGATATTTGTAACACATATACTCAAAAAAACACTCATAGGGACCAGTGTGATAGTTCAACTAGCTAGTCACCCACCAGCATCCCATAGGGACAATGTTCATGAACTGGCTGCTCCACTCCCCATCCAGCTGCCTATTTACAGCCTGGGAAAAGCAGTGGAGGACAGCCCAAAGTCTTAGAACCCTGCACACGCAGGGACACCTGGATGGGGTTCCTGGTTTGGTTCAGCTCTGGTCTTGGCAGCCATTTGGACAGTAAACCAGCAAATGAAAGATCTTTCTATCTCTCCTCTCTGTGAATCAGCCTTTCTTATGCAAAAAATAAATCTTAAAAAAAAAAAGACTCATAACCAGAAAGCTTAAATGCATCAAACTAGCTGGAGTAAGAGACGTCATAAAAAAGGATATCTAAATGGCTAAGACACCTGCCGAAGTGTAGAATCTGACAAATCATAAGGGAGATATAAAATAAGCACATACACACACACACACACAAACATAAAAACACAGTACAGCAGCTAAGATTTCAACAATGAAATAACCAAACCTTGGTGAATATGTTAACTATACATCTTTCAAACATGGTTATGGAGGTAAACAGATTTGGAAAACTGCCTTCACTCAGCAAAGGTTATACATATATTCTGTTACCCAGTATTTCCACTTCAAGGTGAATAATCGTTGGAAGCATATGTACATGATAAGCCCTACACATAAAATTCAGTGTAGCATTATTTGCAAAAGCCCAACTAGGAAACACTTAGATTGCCTGCCAGCAACTAACCAGATAAACTGTATTTATTCAATAAACTATTTAATACAGTAAATATGAATAAAATATAGACATATATACAGGTAAATCTCATAAAACTAACACTGTATAAAAGAGGACACCAGAAATGAATAAATGCAGGGCCTCAAGGTGACAAAAGCAGCACCACTGAGATGTCCAGATCAGGTAATACTGACTCTTAGCGGAAAAACAAACAAAAACCATGGCCCCAAATCTACTACATAAGCAATTAAAACACATCTGATAAAGGATCAAGGCATAAAATCGTTATATAGTCTTTATAGGCAAAAATAACTAAAAAATGCACAAGCTGACTTACATAATATCAAAATTTTGAATACTAACCTGATAAGCTCTGTTTATTTGACTAGCTGCCCAACTAGCATATTTCATGTTGTCCTTCTTCATTTTTGCACTTGCTTTGGCATTAGAAGCAATATGACTTGCTGACTAAAAACATTTAAAAAAAAAAAAGAAATATTAAAAACAAAATTCCTTTTTCTTTTAGTCAAGTTAATAAAAACCATACAAAAGTAACAATCACTATGGGATGATAACAAATACCAAAGCATTTTTAAGATAAAAATAAAATCGAATTTCACTTAATAATGAAAATTATTTTATAGTACAATCAAAATGGGAAGATTTTTTTAACTTATTTTTCTCTGATACAGTTGCATAGGCACAGTGATTGCCTCCCCACCCCTCACACTGCTTTCCCTGTATTACTACAGTAGTACAGCTCTTCAACAATAGTCACAGTCCTTCATTCTGCTGGTCACTGTATCACAGCATTACAGGTAGCATTGTATCTACCATGGCAGATACTATAGTATCTATGGTCAAGGTACATGTAACAGTTTCATCAGGAGTTCTCCTTCATTCCGGAATAGAGATGCATACTGCAACATCTTCATTCCCCAGTATGCTAGTCTCCATTAAACAGTTCATCTATGACAACATATATGTATATATGTTTACCTATATATCTATCTTATATTTCGCATGGAAGTTGCCTTATTTCAGAGGGAACATATAATATTTGTACTTTTGGAACTGGCTTTATTTATTGATCATAATGGATGAAAATACATTTTAAATAACATCTAAAATGATTTCAATATATGGACTGTTGCTCCTAGAGATAAAATTTCCTATTGCTTAATAAAGCAGCAATAGAAAAGCACTGTATGAATGAAAACCTGCCTTGGCACTGTGGGATAACCAGTGTCATATCTTACTACTAAATTATATCAGACATTTGAACTTAAGATTATAAATTAATAGAAGGTATAATAATTTAATACATCTCTACTTTTTAAAAAGGTATTTAAATGGATGAATGCTTAATTTTCTTAACTTTTGACCTATGGAAGAAAATCTAAATTACAAAAAAAAAATTCACACTACCTTTTTACTCTGTGTTTGCATTTGCCAGAAGAGAAAAGCTATAACTTTTGACTTATACTAAAATGTCTTTATTCTTATAAAGATCTGTTCATCTGATTTTCTAGGTCTTTCATGTCCCTTTTTGGTAGGTATTTTAGTAAATTAAGTGGTTCTAGAAAGGTTTTATGAGTGACATGCCTGGGGTGGATTCACGTCAGTCAGAAAGGGACTCTGTCTCCAAGTTACGTTTCTCTATCTCAGCTTTTTCATCTATGACGTGGTCAGAACAGGAGCATCCACTAAAACATCTGATGTGAGGACTTGACAAGTTCAACAGAACTCAAAGTTACTGCAACCAATCAGCTGTGGCAGAATCCTGGAAAGTTTTCTTGAAACTTCTCCGAATCATTTTCTACTATTCTTGTCAGTCCTTCCTAAAAACTATTTCATTTATATTTCTTCCTTTCCTCATTCAACCAATTATTTTTCACTAAGCTGCAACAAAAAGACTCTCCAGAAAGTCCAGAACAGACTGAACTAAATCAAAATGTCAGCAACTGTTCTATTACAGAGGTGCTCATTACATTGTAGATGTGTTGTGTATCTAAAACCTAAAACATACACCAGCATTTCAAACTATTCTATCCTAGGAATATTATGAGCACGGAGCAGTTTCTAAAACACTAAATGAGAAGTACTCATTATACATATGTGCATAAAATGAGCACCTCTCATTATGTGTAATTACACACATATCTGTACACATGTAAGGTTCAGTAATTCTTTATTCTGACAGCTCCTATTAACTGACTTTCATAAGCTCATCCTTCGGCATACATAAAAAAGACAATTACTTCCTACAAAGAATTTCCAAACAGTTTTTTTTTTATCTAATAAAATGTTTTTCTTTGACATATCAGAAGTTTTAGTTCTAATATATCCTTTAATGGCATAATTTGAGAAGAGTCATACAATTTAAGTAAAAAAAATATATATATAATGTTGCCGTAAATCCAAGAACAGAACCATTAAGAAATTCATAACATGGGTTTGTATTGTTACAACTTAATTTTGCAAAACAGATTTCAATTCTAATATGGTAGAGCATAACTTACAATGAAATGTAAAACAGCTAGGATGTTTAACATCCAAAACTAAAACTACCTTACAACCTATTTTTCTAACTTGACCACACGAAAAAAAAAAAAATTAGATCCATCATCCGTGAATAAAACAAACAACAAAAGCAATGCTTGGCAAGGAAAAATCTTGTAACATTAAACATGTTCCTCAACTCACCATGTAAAGCCCAAACAAAGCTCTCATATTTCTATTGTTCAGTTTCAACGCCTGTGCAAAATACTTTCTTGAAAGTTCCAGGTTTTCAAGTCCACCTTGGGTATATTTAACCTGTTTAAAAATGCAGGGTGCTGAAAACTGTTTATTTTACTACTTTGAAATACAGCATGTATCATCACATCACAGACATTTAAATAACTGAAATACAAACTCTAAAAAAAATGCAGAATTTTTAAAGAATTCACCTCAAACATATTAGGCATGATCTAAAACTTAAAACATGACCCAGCCCCCAAATTATTCTATTCTGTATAATGTGATACATACATTTCTTGTACTGTTATTCTTCATAGTAACCAATTTAAAACCTCTTAAGAAATATTAATTTTAATATGAATGCTCCAGAAAACAACTTTAAAATCATAATCATCTTAAATGTCTTAGAAGCCATTACGGAAAAGCAATTGTGAAATAAGTAATGATTTAAGGAGAAAATAGTTTTACTTAACATTTTATATAACTACTACATAAAAACACCACATAAAAGCAAAGAGTTTCACTTCTAAAACTGGATGTTTGCCAGTGTTTTCATCTTAACACTAAAAATTCACAACTTTCATTCCCACAAATGTATATTCAACTTAGATGTTTTAAATATTTATTTTACTTGCCTAACATGAAGGGAATGTTCTTAGCATCATAATATCATAACAGCAACAAAAATGAAATTACAAGTAATCTTATTTCTAAAAACACTTACTTCAGCATACTGCTGACAGTATAAGTGGTTGTGTGGGTTCGTCATCATAAGCTCTTCTAAACAAAAGGCTGCTTTTGCATAGCTGAAAAAATATCAACAGGAAAAATTAATTTTAAGTTAAATTTTATTTTACTTATGTCTTAAATCAATTTAAAAATAATCTGGGAGCCAGCCTTTTGGCACAGCGAGTAAAGCTGCTGCCTGCAACACTGGACTCCAATACAGGCACCACTTCTGATCCAGCACTCTGCTAATAGCCAGGGAAAGGCGACAGAAGATGGCTCTGGTGTCTGGGCCCTTTAACAGCACGTGGGGACTGGGAACAAGGTCCTGGCTCCTTCTTCAGCCTGGTGCACCCTGGGCTGCAACAATCTGGGAGTGAAACCAGCACATGGAAAATGTCTTCGTCTCTATAACTGTTTCAAATAACCAAATCTTTAAATTTTACTCAAGTGACATATTTTATTAGTTATAATTAAAACTTTTGGAAGGCAAGCATCATGGCATAGTAGAATATGTTTCCACTTACAGGGCAAGCATCTCATTTGGACACCAGCTTGAGGCCCAGCTATTTCTTTCTTTTTTTTTTCTTTTTTTTTTTTAATATTTATTTACCTGGGAAGTCAGAATTACACACAGAGAAAAAGAAACAGGTCTTTTCATCTTCTGGGTCACGTTACCAAATGGCCGCAAGGGCTAGAGCTGAACCAGTCCAAAGCTGGGAGTTTCCTCAGGATCTCCCACCTGCGTACAGGGAGCCGTAGGCCATTCTCTGGTGTGTTTCCATAAGCAGGGGTCTTGTGGGATGCAGGTGCCAGCAGGAGGATTATTCTCCAAAGACACCACACAAGGCCAAACTCTGCCTTCAAATAAAGCAAGTCTTAAAAGAACCAAAAAAAGTTCTTATCCTGAACTCATAAACACCAAGAACATAAACTTAATGCAAAGAATTAATTTAAATCCTAATGCCACCTAAAAAATACCTACTTCATAGGTATTACATTTTAAAAAGAGATCAGGACAGGCATTTGGTCAAGTGGTTAAGGTGCTGTTAAAATGGTTATGTGCTAACATGTAATTTCTGGGTTTCTAGCTCTGCGTCTGATTCTAGCTTCCTGCCAACGCAGACCCTAGGCGGCTGCCACACCTGGGATCCTGACATCCATGTAGGAGACAAACCTACACTGAATTACTGCATCCGCCCAATTTTCTCTACATGTCAAATTAGAACAGAAAAAATAAAAAATAAAAAAGATGTAGGTTATTATTCTGATGTGCAAATAATAGTATAAAGTAAATTTTAGTATATTAGATTAAGTTTATATGAAATAACTTTTGGAAGTTCAGATTATTTAATAAAATGTCCAAATTGCTAGAATATGGAATAGGCATTATATTAAATATTCACTATTTTAAAAAAACCTTCAGATACCCACTTACCATTAGAAAGATTTATCATCATTCTATTTTATAGTAAAATACTTTACTGTTAAATGAACCTACAATTAAATTTCAAAGTCGTGAAAAAGAGTCATTAATTCTAGTACTACTAAATCATGCAACACAGAAGCAAAAATCTTGCTGAGCACCTTCAGAAAGAACTGCCAGAAAGTGACTCTAGAAAAATGAAAATTTGTAAAACCATGGTCAAAATTCACCTTTGTAGATTTTTAATGTCTAAAACCTTCTGAATATATTTCATTATTTTATTCTGAATATATTCATTATTTACGGTATATCCTAAAGACAACTGGTGTTTACAAGTTTATTTCTAGTGAGGTGGTGATGTTATTACTCAACAGAAACAGGCTACCTAAACTTATTTTTGCTTTTTACACAAATATGTTAAAGTACCTACCTTTTATAATAATGCCTGTCAGAAACTTACATATAAACAAATTAATAATAACTAATGTTCTTTAAATAATCATATGTGTCCTATGCTGTCCTAAATGTTAAATGCATTAATTCATTCAGTCCTACAAAACTTCACCAAGTCGGAAATCAGTGCTATTCTGCAGCTGCGAAGCCCAGAGGGGCCTGGTTCCTGAGTGAGCCCTGCTTCCACTGTCAGCTTCCTGCACAGCCTTGTAGGAAGCACTGGACAAGTCCACCTGTGTCTCCGTCATCGCCATGGTAGATCCCCTGTAAGTGCAGGTTCCTGGCATGGGCCTTACTTGGGCGTCGGGGTATTTAGTCAGGGAGCTATCAGATGGAAGACCCCTCTGTGCATTCTGTCTCACAACTAAACATAAATATAACTTTTGAAGGAATTTAAACCTATTTAAAAGAGAATAACTATTCTATCTTAAAGTCAATATTAGAATTAAGTTTCCTTCTCCTGTTCCACAATTAAGTATTACAACCACAGGTTACAGTGTTTGTTCCTATTTTTGCTTTTCTAGCCTTACGTTTTTTCTTATATGGAGCTTTTATAAAGAATTTTTTTTAAAAAACCAGGATGGACCTACACAAAGAAACTATTATCACAATCTAAACAAATATATACTATTACATGTTTCTGAATTCAAGATATAGTATTACTTAAAAATTGAGTAAAAAATTAAATGTTTTTGTAAAAAAAAAAAACAAAAAAACATTGAATGGATTTTATTTCCAATAAGTATCAGTACGGGCTGGCATATGGTGTAGCAAGTTAAACCTCTGCCTGCTATGCTGGCATTTCACATGGGTACCAGTTCAAGTCCTTGCCTCTCCACTTCCAAACAACCTCACTGCTCATACACCTAGAGAAACAGCACAGGAGAACTTGAGTCCTTGGGCCCCTGTAGCCATGTGGCAGACCCAGAGGAAGCTCCTGGCTCCTGGCTTCAGATTGGCTCAGCTCCAGTCTTGTGGCCATCTGGAGAGTAAGCCAGCAGAAGGAAGATCTTTCTCTCCCTGTAAATCTTTCAAACAAATAAATCTTTAAAAAAATTCTATCAATATAGCCATGGATGTGACAAATACCACTGAAAAACGAGTAAACTAGAATTTGTAAATCAAAATCAATCTTAAAAGTAATAAAAACTGGGAAAAAGAAAACTATGTGACAGAATTCTATATTCCCCTTTTCATGAAGACTACATTTGTAGCTAGGATGAAGAATTTTTTTTCTGCTAAAAGGCCATTTGGGGGCCCGGCACGGTGGCGCAAGTGGTTAAAGGTCCTCGCTTTGCACGCCCGGGATCCCATATGGACGCCGGTTCTAATCCCGGCAGCCCCGCTTCCCTTCCAGCTCCCTGCTTGTGGCCTGGGAAAGCAGCCAAGGACGGCCCACAGCTTTGGGAACCTGCACCCGCGTGGGAGACCCGGAAGAGGCTCCTGGCTTCGGATTGGCATAGTATCGGCCCGTTGCGCTCACTTGGGGAGTGAATCATCAGACGGAAGATCTTCCTCTCTGTCTCTCCTCTCTGTATATCCGCCTTTCCAATGAAAAAATAATAATAAAAATAAATCTTTAAAAAAAAAAAAGGCCATTTGGATATTCAAAACATAATCTGCAGCCCATATACACTATTCAACAAAATTATTATTAGCCTGATACAAATCTGTTGACTTTTTTTTTAAGATTTATTTATTTTTATTAGAAAGTCAGATATACTGAGAGGAGGAGACAGACAGGGAGATCTTTTGTCCCCTGCTTCACTCTCCAAGCAACCACAACAGCTAGAGCTGTGCTGATCCAAAGCCAGGAGCCAGGAACCTCTTCCAGGTCTCGCACATGACAGCAGTGTCCCAAGGCTTTTGGGTCATCCTCAACTGTTTTCCCAGGCCACAAACAGGGAGCTGGATGAGAAGCAGGGCTGCCAGGACACGATCTGTTGCCCATATGGGATCCCACTGCATTCAAGGCGAGGACGTTAGCTGATAGTCTACCATACCAGACTCAGATCTGTTGACTTTTAAGTCCCACTGGCAGCTGCTTTGACAGGGTCAGTCCAGACGATTTTATGGGCCCTATGCCACCGTGGTTCAGATGATTCCCATCCCTGGCTTATATGAACAAGTTTTATGGAAATTCAACTGGAGTAAAAAGTGTAGTTTTATATCAACAGTGCTTTCTGTGACATATCATACTTAAAACAGCTTGTAACTGTTCATATGCAAAAATATATTGAATTCAAATACACCTATTTCATTTTTAACACTGTGTTCACAAAACTGATGCTAAAATCACACTTCTAATATTTAACCAAAACTGTCACCAAAAACTCTTATCTAAATGATGTCAACTGAATTCATCTTCACAGTTTCAAAAAACAAACAAAAAAACCTGGAGGTATTTATTTCCATTCATTTTAAACATGAATATTGCTTCTCTGTTCAGGTAGGAAAATATAAACGTTCAATTTTCAAACTAATCAGCTAGAAGAGCAAAGCAAACAAACAAAAAAAACAAGTTTTATGATTGGATAACAGGGTAGGATGACCATAATTATCATTTTTTTTCAAAAGAAATTATTTGGGGTATCTTGTGATCTACTTTTTGATTTCTTAGGATTTTTTTCAGTTTATTGTTCCTGAATGTACATTCAACCCTATTTCAATAAACTCCCTGAAAATAAATTACAAATATATTCTTAATATATGTAAATTTTAATGATAGATTTAAGCAAAATATAGGGCCCCATGCAAACAAATAAATCTTTAAAAAAATTCTATCAATATAGCCATGGATGTGACAAATACCACTGAAAAACGAGTAAACTAGCTCAACTGGCTAGATCTTTCCCTTGCAAGTTCCAGGATCCCATATGCCTGCTAGTTCATGTCCCAGTAGCTCCACTTCCCTACAAGTTCCCTGTTTGTGGCCTGGGAAAGCAGCTGAGGATGGCCCAAGGCTTTAGGATTCTGAACCTACATGGCAGACCCAGAAGAAACTCCTGGCTCCTGGCTTCAGATTGGTTCAGTTCTGGCTGCTGTGGCAACTCAGGGAGTGACTAGCAGATAGAAGATCTTCTTCACTGTATTTCCTTCTCTCTGTAATTTGGCCTTTCCAACAAAAATAAATAAATCTTAAGAAAGAAAAATCTTAAGAAAAAGAAAAAAAGTAAAATTCAATCTAAATCTGATGATTAAAAAGATTAGAGATGAGCAAAGATAACGGACTTCCTAAAAATATAGTTATAAGATAAACATAAAGTTTTAAAAAGAAATGTAACAAGGTTAAGTTAATATCATTCACAAAGAGCATTATACTGGGCCCAGCAGCATGGCCTAGCAGCTAAGGTCCTCGCCTTGAATGCGTCAGGATCCCAGATGGGTGCCTGTTCTAATCCCGGCAGCCCCGCTTCCCATCCAGCTCCCTGCCTGTGGCCTGGGAAACCAGTTGAGGACGGCCCAAAGCTTTGGGACCCTGCACCCACACGGGATACCCGAAAGAAGTTTCTGGCTCCTGGCTTCAGACGGGCACAGCACCGGCCGCTGTGGTCTCTTGAGGAGTGAATCACCAGACGGATGATCTTTCTCTCTGTCTCTCCTCCTCTGTATATCTGACTTTGTAATAAAAATAAATAAACCTTTAAAAAAAAAAAGCTTTATACTACAGCATTACATTGAAAATATAAAATTATGAATGCCTTCTAGAAAACTGGCTAAAAACACTTAAGGTATAGTGAGGATATATAAATAACAAAAAGACTTATAATAAGATCTTGATATATGTTTATAGTGATTGATTTTTGATAAATTAGGAAGCAGCCGTTCCAGAAGTTTGGAGTTTTAAGTGGTATAGTAGCATAAAAATCAAATAGAAACTCCAATTCAGAATTTTTAAATTGCAATAACTTATGCACTTTCACTTCCCAAATTTTCTTTTCTTTTTTTTTATTTTTATTATTATTATTTTTTTTATTATTGGAAAGGCAGATATACAGAGAGGAGAGACAGAGAGGAAGATCTTCCGTCCGATGATTCACTCCCCAAGTGAGCACAATGGCCGGTGCTGTGCCAATCCGAAGCCAGGAGCCTCTATCGGGTTTCCCACGCGGGTGCAGGGTCCCAAAGCTTTGGGCCGTCCTCGACTGCTTTCCCGGGCCACAGGCAGGGAGCTGGAAGGGAAGCGGGGCTGCCGGGATAGAACCAGTGCCCATATGGGATCCCGGGTGTGCAAGGCGAGGACCTTAACCACTGTGCCACCGTGCCGGGCCCTAAATTTTCTACATTAAGCATTTCTTTAGCTGAACAAAAAAACCAAAGACTTGTTTTCATTTGAAATATTTTAAAATGTTTTTCACCTCTTTTAGGAACAAAACAAATCTAATTTTAAGCTGCATTCTGAATATTCAGTTCTACATTATTTCAGTATCAATATACAGTGTCACCTGCATGAGAAAATCATGCATATGTCTCTATACAAACATATATGCATTTGTATTAAATATGATTCTAGAAATAATTTCCTAGCATAAAGAAGTTCTGATAGAATAATGCAGAGAAATAAAGAACTCAGAATTTAGCATACATTCATTATCTGACAACTATTCCGTTTATTGTAGCTCTCACTGTTGCTAAAATTACGGAAATAACTGCCTTATCTTTCCTCCCACGGTATATTTGTAAACCTGGGAAAAGGCAACAGACAAATGTCTTCATTTGACTTAATTTTCTGGGCCAGTTGTGTGTAGTATGAGAATGAAGCTAACAAATTCATATACAAGAATATGTGTGAGAATTTCTCTCTCAAAAAGGACAGAAACGTGATGATAAACTTAAGACTCACAAAGACTAAAGGAAAAAAATTATGCCTCTGCATGAAGCTCGTGTTAATGCTGTGATATTTGAAAACTTGTGCTGAGACGCTGCACTAATCCTCTCACAATGGGATTTCCTCCTGTCACTACAGCAATAACAAAAACATTAAATATCCAATAAGCATGTTCCTAGAGCATTCAGCATTCTTGACTTTTCCTGGTTTTTTTACCCAGGCAACAGAATTCTACTTTTGGAAGAGTCAATTCCCTTGGTGCTGAGCTAATAAATGCATATAACTGACAGAATTCTTAAGCAGCAGGGAGTATAATACTCTTGGTATATAAGAATAATTTGAAGGCTAAAAATTAACAATTTTCATTCACTAAAAATAACCTTAGCTTAGTGCAGGACTTTGTAATTCCAAAGAATGCTATCTTAAGGAAAAACTCGTTTCTGGGGCAAAAATATTTTAGGGAAATATGAATTGCCTAAATAAATCAATACACATTATATGAATGGCAACTTTTTAATCTATAATTTTCCATTTAATTGATAACTTTTTCTTATTTAAAGTAACATGTACTTCACACCTCCTCGCCAATCCCCTGGAAACCACTATACTTTCTCAACTTTCAGTGATGAAAACTGCACTTCTAACAAAATTATACACATTTTCAACAACTCACTCATGTTCATTGATATAAAGTTCTGCCAGTTCATGCCAGGCTTCTTGATCTCCAACAAACCTGGTGGAAAGGGAAAGGAGGGGAAAGTAAGTGTGTGGATAGTCTGTAAGTGAACAGCATGAAGGCAAACAGAAAAATCAAATGCAAATTCCATTTTAATTAAAAAAAGATTTATCAGAATAACAAAACCAAATCCTCTTGGAAAACACTCACTGTTCCAGATACTCATTCAATTCCCGAATGGCCTCCACATTTTTCCCTTGGGCTTTTCGAATGGCAATCTTACGCTTTCTTGCAGCCTATGGGTTGATATTAATAAAGGATTAGGCCCTCATGATTCCCCGGGTTTTTGTAAAGAAGGTAATTTGGCTGTGCAAATTATTATCTCAATGCCAGTGAAATTCCATTGTAGAACCAATGCTTAGTGGGAGTTTATAAACATACCCCATGACATCCCACTGGGGGATTCAAACACTGCTCTAACAACCACATATGCTTTACTTTGGGTGTGTATATTGTATGCATCGTTTCACCCACATAAATAACCAGCCAGATTCTGATAATTACAAGCCAGCAGGGAATCCTAATCTTTATCCAACCTAAAGTTCTTTACTCTGCCTCATTCCCAAGATCTGTATCCTAAGAGGCAGAAGGAGAGTAGAGATTAGGGAAAGAAAGCTCACCATGACCAGCTGAATGTCATTATATTCAAATGCTTCTGAAACTTTTTACACAATTTTAAGGGGAAAAATTATGCTTGTCGTTCAAAAGATTATTATAGGTCCTCAGAGAAATAAAGCTTACATGTTAAAGTTTTAAAAATGATAAATATAACAACCAAAACCATTTATTTACTCATATAATCAAATACCTATCAGAAATGTATTGTTTGCCAAGTACTGTGCTCAGCAATGAAAGCATAAGTTTAAAAGCAGACAATTCCTCACAGGAGCGAAGGCAAAGTCTCGTGAGAAAGATGCATTACTTTAGCAAAACATTAAAGCAGTAAAGGCAATGACAGAGATTCTTGGTTGTTGTACAAGCAAAGAAAGAGTTCCAACACAAACTGTGGTGCAGAGAAAGGGGAAGTATTGGAAATAAATAAGGACCCAGATGTGACAGCTGGAATAAAACAGAAAAGGCAAGTAGACATTAAGAGAGCAAAAGAAGAAGCTATATTTGGGACAATGCATAATAGGAAGAACTAATTCATGAATAAAGTCATAGACAAAATTGGCACTGGAGATAAGTGCGACTTTATAGAGAAATTTCTAGAAAGGGGCCAAGCAACATGTATAAATTACTAAATTTGCATCCTATCCACCCTGGTTTAATTCTAACAGAAGGATAAGCAATAAAGTATACTATAAGTACAAAGTTAAGCTTGTCAAAATTATCAATCTGATAAAACACACACACATGAGGACCTGGCACAGTAGCCTAGTGGATAAGTCCTTGCCTTGGAAGTGCCAGGATCCCATATGGGCACCGGTTCCCATCCAGCTAAATGACTGAGGCCTGGGAAAGCAGTGGAGGATGGCCCAAAAGCCTTGGGAACCTGCACCCGCGTGGGAGACATGGAAGAAGCTCCAGCCCCTGGCTTCAGATCAGCTCAGCTGAGGCCGCTGTGGCTGCTTGGGGAGTGAATCATCAGACAGAAGGTCTTTCTATCTCTCTGCTCTGCCTATCTGACTTTCCAATTTAAAAAATTATTTTAAAAAAACTCACAAACACTAAAAAATGCAGAGCAAGTAAACTGGATAAAGCCTCTACAATATTAAGAGCTAAATACTTTAAGGTAGGACCCTGCTTTGGTTCTGAAAAAATACCAGTGAATTTCAGATAAATAAGAGACTCGTAACAAGTAAGGCTGAAAAAAATACAATAACGATAATATTTTCATAATGAAAACATCTTAAGAAAATTACATGTTTGATTATTTAGCTCATATACACCAAAGGTCTAGTGTAATGTCTGTCACAGACTAGGTACAATTAACTTTTTTCTGAAATTCAGCATGTAAAACAATAAAAACACCACAATAAATCCAAGTTAAAAAATGAAAAATTCAAAAACAAAAATCTTAGGATAGATGAAGCTTATTCACAAATCTCTATGGGGTGAGTAATATGTTGTTGGATATGTTAAATCTAAGATTCGGTGTTACATCTTCTAATATTTTTTCTTCATTTAAATTATTATGATATATTTTCACTGGCTGTGGAAATTCCCTATCCCCCTCCCCAAGATGCCTCCACCCCACTGAGCTCCCCTATATTAATTCTGTGGTATAGCAGCCCTAAGTCCATCACTGTGGGCATGGACAATGACAGAACCACCATCTTACTGTCAAGATAGATTCAACAGTTTTACTGGGAGTCCATCTTTGATCTAGAAGTAGAATTGCATTCTATCTTGTATCCTTACATCTGAATATGACAGACTCCATTACACAATTACTATACAAAACCTTAAATGAAAAGCCACAAAACAAAATCAACAAAAGGAAGTAAAATAGAAATTTACAATGCCATGAAGTTAAATAATATGCCACTGGAGGACCAATGTGTTGCTGAGGAAATGAAAACCATGAACCATTATCTTGCAGAAAATGATGCTATTGCATAATCTTTGAATCAGTTAAGAATTTAAAATGAAACAAAAAAAACTGTTTAAGAAATGAAAATAAAATCAAAAGCATCAAAATCAATGATATAGTTTCCACTGATCTTTGATGGCGAGATGGGTCTCCTATAGGCAACAGATAGATGGGTTCTATTTTTATAATCCAGTTTACTAATCTATGACGTTTGACTGATGAGTTTAAGTCCTTCACATTTAGGGTTAATATGAATGAGTGGTAATTTGGTCCTGTCACTTTAGCAATGGGTCGTTCATTTAATTTAATCTCTTTATTACTTTCATTGGAATGCTCTTTACATCTGTCTTTGGTTTTGGTGGGTGCTATTACTTGTCTGTCAAGAAAACATCTTAAGTATCATCTATGGAAGAGGCACATTTTCTGAGCTTTTCTTTACTGTGGAAGAATTTTCTTTCATTTTCAAAGACAAAGGAAAGTTCTGTTGGGTACATTATTCTAGGCTGACAAATATTTCCTCTTAGAATCTAGAATATGTCGCTCCATTCTCTTCTGGCCTACAGAGTTTCTTGTGAGAGGTCAGTTGTGAGTCTGATTCAGATTCCTCTGTATGTTCACTGACTTTTTTTCACGAGCACATTTAAGGATCTTTTCCTTATGTCTGACTAAACAGAGCTTTGACTATTGTGTGTCATGGTGAAGATTGCTTTTGTTCAATCCTAACGGGAGTTCTGTGCCCCTCCTAGATGTTGTTTCCCAATTCTTTCTCCATAATAGGGAAATTTTCCTAGCTTCTCTTTCTGCGCCTTTTGGAACATCCATACTCAATATTGGCCTTTTTAATAGTGTCTCTAAATTCTTGAATTTTTTTTTAGCTTGACCCAGCTTCGCTTCCAGTTTTTTATTTCCTCATTGTGACAAGAAAAATATCTTTCAATTCTGAGATTCTTCTGCTTCATTTGTTCTATTACTGAGACTTTCCATTGAATTTTTAATTTGCTCCACTGTATCCTTCATTTCCAATAATTCAGCTTGATTTTGTTTGTGTTGCTATTTCCTGTGTGACACATTCCTTAAATTCCTTGAGCTCCTGTATGTGCTTCTCATTGTTGATAAGCTTTATTATAAGCTTATCCCCCATTTCTTCTAAGTATTCTTCAGTTAACTCTGCCGTTAGCAAAGCCTTTTGTTCCCCTGCAGGAGGGTTTTTAGTAATATTCATTGTGTCTCTCTTCTGCTCCTGGTCATTGCAGTTCTGGTTAGCAGATTCCTCTCTTCAGGGCAGGTTTCTAAGCTGGGTCACTCACAGGTCTACAGGTCAATTTTACTGATTATGTTTGGTACGCAGTTCTTTGTATGCAATCACTTATACCACCCCCTCCAGTAAGTTTCCAGTCTGGATTCTTGTATTATGCCTCCACCATGGTCTCCATTGCCCCAGCTCCTGGCTCACCAGTCTCCACCTCTTGCAATCCCCTGCTGAGGCTGCATCATTGTCTATGCAACCTTTCTCCCACTCCTGGTTGGAGCAGTTCCCAGAATTAGGGAAATTTCAGGTATCCTAAATAATTAGGTTGTTGGTGATGCTGATCTTGCTGGAACTTGCTGGCTGTTAGGTCTGAGGGCCACTCAGATGTATTTTGACCAGTACGATGTCACAGCTGGTATTATTTTCCTTGTGGGACCAGTGCAACGCATTGAGCTGTAATTGAGTTAGCTCCCAGTTCAGTGCAAGTATAGATCACCGTTGTCCCAGCAGCTTTTGCACCACTGTACAAAATGGCCCCTGGTGTGCCACTACTAGGGTTCCTGATCTGTTGGCCATTAGGTCTAGGGGCTACCCAGACTTATTTTGCATGGAACCTGTAGGATGCCACCTTAGTGCAATACACTGAGCTCAAAATGAATTCACTTCCAGCTTAGTGCATGCACAGTCCCATCCATCCCACAGCCTTTGACTCCCTACACAAAACAGCACCTGATGGGGCGCTGGGCTGTGAAATCCACCTTGTTCCTGCACCACCTGTTTGGGGTATACTGCTCTGTCTCTGCTACTGGTTGAATGCAAGAAGCAGCTCTTTTGTCTGTGTTCACCCTCAGAGCTCCTGCTGAACTCCCCTTCGCACCTGGCTGCTGGTGGAGCTCTGTCAGTGGAGCTCAGTTCACCACTCATCTACTGCCACTTGGGTATCCGGTCACAGCAACACCACACTGTTATCTCTACTGCTCTCCTGTGTCTATTAGTTCCCAGGTGCCCCTGTGCCACCAGCCTCTTCTCCGCTTATTTCCTGGAATGTGCCCTCTTTGCTTCACTCTGGCCAGTGATTCTCCATTTGTTGAAATGTGTCCTTACCCTATTCTGCCATCTTGATTCTCTATCTTCTTATACTCTAAAGTTTAAAACCAACTTCTAAATGGTAACTGCTTGGCTACGCAAAACCAGTTCTCCTAATGAAAATATACACGACAGCTTCGAGAAAAATCTACTTAGCAATCACTATCATAGAGATAAAATTAGATTATTAAGTCATACACTTCTTTGTTAAACAGGATTTTCCAATTTATTTCTTTTAAAGAAAAATAATATAGCACCACAATTTGGCCCAAGATGCTTCTTTATTTATCATGATTGTTTTAACTAGCATTAAGCAAGAACTTCATTTTTAGCCAAACAGATTAACAAGGACCAGATTTACACTT